TGTGTGTGTGTGTGTGTGTGTGTGTGTGTGTGTATGTATGTATGTATGTATCAAGTGAAATACTTTATTATTTTAAAAACTAGTATAAACTGTGACACCCCTGATTGAACACTTATTTACAAAACACTCGGTTGTTTTCTTCCTGGCCATATTGCGTTTCTTGTCACAATCTTGTGTTCTTAAACTTTGACATACAAAATAGAATCTGTCTTCTGCAAAGTAGCATGTTTGCAGGTGATGAGTAGCTGGTGACTACAAGTATTTAATCTGTTGACACAATAGTCTTGCATGTTGCAACTTTTCACTCAAAACTGCATATGTTGTGAATTGTATACATGTGTTCTTGATGTACTGTTGCAGTGTAAACGTGCGATATTGTGAGACAAATCGAGCAACACGTCCTTTGGAGGAGGAAGAAAAGCCTTCGTACTCGGTATTCATGTATCTTTTTTTAGACGTACACTACCAGATTCTAAAATAGACACCTTGTCTTGTGATACTGTGGAGAGATGTTCAGTTGGAAAGTTTGTGTTCTTGTTTTATTGTGCTCCTTTGGTGCCTGGCATCTGAGATGGCCTTTACGTCTTTGGTAAGACATTTCTTTCTTGACTCGGGAAGTGATACCTTCAATTATATCCTGTGTATAGTACACGGATCCTAGAAACGTTAACCGTACATTAAACAATACGTGTTTGATAGACGTTTTACTGCTGATAAAAGGCTTCACCGTTATTTTTGTACATACCAGTACACTATCTGTTGTTGAGGCGATACCGTCCGAAGGTGAAACTTACTATACGTTACAAACGTAACGGGTTAAAGTTTAAAAAATCAAGTGATTAGTACGTGCAATTTTGAATATAAATGATGGCGTGTTATCACTTACGTGTTAGTGTTATCTCCATCTGTTTATACAAATAGTTTAACACGGTTTATATTTCAGTACATTTAACCAACACTTACTCAGTCCTGATAACGACACAGGATTAGGTGAAGTTAGTTTAAAAGTACTTGTACTGTAATTAATATAGGTAACGTATTACTTCAGTCTCGGTAGGTTAGGCTGCATATAGTAGCAAATGGTGTTAGGAATGTAATTTTTTTTAAAACTTGGAATGAAAAATATCATACGACGTTATCGGATACAGACCTAATCGTTTAGGTTTCATTAAAAGTTAAATTAGTCGATTATAGGCTTTATTTTTCATATGTAAATAAATGTTAAAGATACAAGCCAATCTTGGATGTTATGCCAATCTGGCGGTTTTATCTTACAAAATAACGCTCCGCTTACTTCAAAAACCTTGGAAAATGGTAACCAGAGTAACGGTAATAAAATTCAACTAACCCGTTGATTGTTATCTTCAATACAGTTCTGATAGTGTTCTCGATGTAGTTATATAGAGATTCTACAAGGATCTGCTCTCTAGTGCTGGATTGTTCCAACGTACCTTTGTAATTTCACTTTAACGTACGAAAGCGCGTGATTCTTGATGTCGAGCGAGCAGTTGCGCACTGGCTTGGAATTTGTCCAAGAGAAGATGCTGAAAAAAATCAATAAAACAATGCGGATAGAGAAATAAGTTAAACGTGTAAAGTGGAAAAATTGAGTTATTTACTTTCCGAAAGAATACTTGAATAAATCGTGTTTTCACATGAAATTGTTTCGTGTATAAATCATGTTTGAATCCGTTTCACTCCCTTTTTTTTAAATTCAATATCGTATTCTTAAATGTTTATATCTTAAGATAAGATACCATGCCATATGTTTCATTACTGTTACAAAGTGATTATTACTTGCATATTGGTGATAAAATCCCACGTGACACCTTTCGACGTATCAGTATCAAAAAGCCCATGCTCCTTTTCTCCCCATCATGCCTTGCAGTCTTTATGTAAACTACCGTATGAGAGAATAATGTTGGCTTTGAAATTTGCTCTTTAGGGACAAATTCTTCTCTCGAGAACCAACAGTGAGCGAATCCAAAATGGTGGACGAGGTAACCATGGAGAAACTGAACTCTGGTTTCCAGAAGCTGCAAAAAGCAACTGATTGTAAATCTCTCTTGAAGAAATACTTAACAAAGGATGTTTTTGAAAAATTGAAAAATGAGAAGACAAAAATGGGAGCAACTCTTCTCGACGTTATTCAGTCAGGTATTTAACTTGTTAGAATCTACTTGTCAATATTAACCTAACAATATACATAATAAAATGTTTTATATACTTCTGTTGAAGGCCTTCTGTATTGTAAAAGCATTATACTTATCAATATTAACCTAACAATACATATAATAAAATGTTTTATGTATTTCTGTTAACGGCTTTCTGTATTGTACAAATATTATACTTATCAATATTAACCTAACAATACACATAATAAAATGTTTTATATACTTCTGTTTAAGGCCTTCTGTATTGTACAAATATTATACTTATCAATATTAACCTAACAATACACATAATAAAATGTTTTATATACTTCTGTTTAAGGCCTTCTGTATTGTAAAAGCATTATACTTATCAATATTAACCTAACAATACACATAATAAAATGTTTTATATACTTCTGTTGAAGGCCTTCTGTATTGTAAAAGCATTATACTTATCAATATTAACCTAACAATACACATAATAAAATGTTTTATATACTT